TCTTCTTTGTATTATTTACTTTTATAGCTTTATCCTTTTTAAATCATTCTCATTACTTTATAACTCGTTAATTTTTTTTTAATCATTAGATTTTGCTTTTAAATTTTAAATAAAAAAATAAACTATTGAGATTTTATAAAAATATTTTTTGATTTAATTTATAATTTTATTGATAATAAATAAATAAATAATAAATAAGTCATTTTATTTTATTTTGTTTTCATATTTTTCATTTTAAAAAAAAAAATTGTTAGTAAAATTAAGTTTACAATATAAAAATAAAAACATAAACGAATTACATACATATTTATTATATTATAACTTATTTATTTATTCATCCTTTCATTCTAAATTTTTTGTTCATCAATATTTATCATAAGGTTTGTGTGTCATAAACAAATTGATTGAGTCTTCTAAATATTTAAGTCTCTTGAAAGTCAACACACTTGTTATACATGTCTATCTCCCTATATTACTGTATATTATTTATTTAATTTTTAGTTAAAACTTCTTAACAAATTAAATTTTACTTTTTTTTTTTTATTGTGCTATTTATTTATTTTAGAAGTGTAAATAATATTTTTACACTAATTACAGAATCGATAAAAATAATTTGTCTTTAACCTCAAAATAGATCCAATTTTTTGAAAATTTTACATTCTACAATTGTTTTATTTATTATAAAATTTATTAATTAATCAATCAATTAATAAATTATTATTTTAATTTTTAAATTTTACCACTTGCTATTTTTCAAATTTAAAATGAATCAGCTTAATTTAATTTATAGGCCACTGAAATAAATTAATTACTAACTGTTTATATTTAATTAATTAATTAATTTATTATTTCAATCAATAATAAGTTAAGTCTATCTATCATCAAAATAAATTAGTAAATAATAAAATAAATATTACAGCCTATTTTATTATTTTTTAAAATAAAATTAATATTTTAATAAAAATTAAATTGAATTTTTACTCGCTATTAAAATTAGTGTATGATATTTTTCAACAAAGTGTAAAAGAATTGAAGTTTCTTCAAAAGAGAGGTATTTTAGTTAAATTAATTAGTCATTTTTTACATCCTTTTTATTATATTTAATTGTTCATAATGTCTTATTAAATTTCATATTGCAATCATTAAATAAATATTTAATATATAATGAATTAAATAATAAATTAATTAGTTACTCGCTTTTTGGAAATTTTAAGAATTTCATTTAAAATATTTTCAAAGATTTGAAAATGAATTAATGAATGATTATTTACCAACTATATATTTTAAATTATTAACAAGTTTAAAATCTCTAAGTCTGTCTCAGTAATAAATAAATAATTAATTATGAAAATGTCTGTTACTTCCTTTTTTAAAATAATATTTAAATTAGTTATTTAATTCATGTATAAAATTACTAAATATTTTATTATCAAAATTAATTAATTTTAAATTATTACAATCTATTTTTAACATGAGAATACAATACAATTACCATCTTTCAATTAAAAGTCACTAAAAATATTAATTAATTACTCCCTATTAGAATATTCAATTTAATTCTCCGTTATTAAATGCAAAAAGAATTTAAAATGTTATTTACGTCCATCTATTAATTAAGAAAAATAAATTCAAACTATTTGTTTTAATTTATAAGAATTCAAAATGCATGTAAATCTAAGTTTTACGATCTATTTTAATTTAAAGTTCAGCTCATCCAACTTCTTTCCAAAAACTGTTAAAGATTTATTATATATTACTTCTTGCTATT